AAAAAAAAAACACATGATAATCTTATTAGATGCTGAAAAAGAATTTGACAGACTCCAACACCCCTTCATGTTAAAAGCTGAAGTAATCAGGGATACAAGGTGAATACCCAAACACAATAACATCAACACACAGCAAGCCAATAGCCAATATCAAGTTAGGTGGACAGAAACCTAAAGCAATTCCACTAAAATCAGGGACAAGACAAGGCTGCCCACTCTCTCCATAACTCTTCAATATAGTACTTAAAGTTCTAGCTAGTGCAATAAGAGAAGTAAAGAAGATCAAGAGGATACAAAATGGAAAGGAAGAAGTCAAACTATCTTTATTCACAGATGATATGAGAGTATATATAAGTGACCCCAAAAAATTCTACCAGTGAACTCCTACAGCTAAAAAACACCTTCAGCAAAGTGGTTGGATAAAATAATTAACTCAAAAAAAATCAGGAGCCCTCCTTTATACAAACAATAAACAGGCTGAGAAAGGAATTAGAGAAACAACACCCTTTACAATAGTCACACATAATATAAAATATCTTGGTGTAACTCTAACCAAGCTAGTGAAAGACCTGTATGACAAGACCATCGAGTCTCTGAAAAAAAGAAATTGAGGAAGATATCAGAAGATGAAAAGACCTCCCGTGTTCATAGATTAGCAGGATTAACATAGTAAAATGGGCATCTTACCAAAAGCAATCTACAGATTCAATGAAATCCCCATCAAAATTTCAACACAATTCTTTACACACATTGAAAAAGCAATTCCAGCTTAATATGAAAAAAAAAAAAAAAAACAGGATGGCAAAAACAATCCTGTACAATAAAAGAACATCATCCTTGATTCCCAAGTGTACTACAGAGCAATAGTAATAAAAAAAAAAAAAAAACACATGGTACTGGCATAAAAACAGACAGGTATATCAATGGAATCAAATCAAAGACCCAGAAATAAACCCATACAACTACAGACACTTGATTTTTTTTACAAAGGCGCTAAAACCATACAATGAAAAAAAGAAAACATCTTCAACAAATAGTGATGGTTTAACTGGATGTCTGCATATAGAAGAATGCAAATAAATCCATATCTATCACCCTGCACAAAACTCAAATTTAAGTAGATCAAATACCTCAACATAAAACCAAATACACTAAATCTGATAGAAGAGAAAGTGGGGGAGAGCCTTCATTGGTACAGGAGACAACTTTCTGAACAGAACACCAGCAGCTCAGGCACTAAGATCAACAATCAATAAATGGAACTTATGAAACTGAAAAGCTTCTGTAAGGCAAAGGACACTGTCAATAGGATAAAATGGCAGCCTACAAAATGGTAAAAGATCTTCAAAAACCCTATATCTGACAGAGGGCTGATATTCCTCTGTCAGGGATATCTACAAAGAACTCAAAAATTAGACACCAACAAACAAAATAACCCAAGTTTTAAAATGGAGTACAGAGCTGGGCATGGTGGCAAATACCTGTAATCCTAGCACTCAGGGAGGCAGAGACAGGCAAATCTCTGTGAGTAGGAGGCCAGCTGTTGTTATAAAAAATGAAAATCCTAACCATTCTATTTTACCAGTGAAGACTCAGGAGTAGGTGAAAACCTACTAGCTCAGAGAGGCAGAGACAACACCCAGCTGACCTTCTCGGCTCACATCACAGAAGGAAAAGCCCAAAGCTAAAAGCTTGCTAGCTCAGCTGACAGCCCCGGAGTAAAAAGTAAACAGCTAACATCCCAAGAGCTAGAGAGCTGAAGGCCAAGGAGCTGAAGAGCTAAAGAGCAGAAAAACTTCTTCTTCATGCTGTCTTTATTCCCTTCAACTCAATGCCCCTCCTTACTATTTAATCTCTGTCAGCTGGCTTCTTGCTCTGCCTCTTGACCTAGGGTTAACTTTATTAAATCCTGTGTACAGAAAGCTGTAGGATTAAAGATGGGTGTGATGGTTGAGCCACCATAATTCCTTGTTTACAATAAGCAGAAAGCTCTTGGATAAAGGTGTGTGTTAGGGCTGAACCACACCAAACAATGGACAGGTTTTTACAGTCATAATCTTGGGGTTCACAATGGGATCAAATATTCTTCAACAGCCAGCCTGGTCTACAAGCAAGTCTAGGACAGCCAAGGCTATACAGAGAAACTCTGTCTCTAAAAAAACAAAATAAAACAAAACAAAAATGAAAAATAGGATAAAGAGCTAAACAGATAATTTTTGACAGAGGAATCTCTAGTGGCCAAGAAGCACTTAAAGAATGCTCAACATCCTTAGTCAGCAGGAAAATGCAAATTAAAACAACTCTGAGATTCCATCTTAGACCCCTCAGAATGGCTAAGATCAAAAACTTTAGTAACAGCACACGCTGGTGAGAATGTGGAGCAAGAGGAACAACCCCTCCTCCATTGCTGGTGGGAGTGCAAACTTGTACAACCACTTTGGAAATCAATCCGGCAGTTTATCAGAAAATTGGGAATAATTCTACCTCAAGACCCAGCTACACCACTTCTGGGCATATACCCAAAAGATGCTCCAGCATACCACAGGGACACTTGCTCAACTATGTTCATAGCAGCTTTATTTGTAATAGTCAGATACAGGAAACAACCCAGATGTTCCTCAAACTGAAGAATGAATAATGAAAAACTGTGGTACATTTACACAATGGAATGCTACTTAGTGACTAAAAACAAGGACACCATAAAATATCATCCTGAGCAATGTGAACTGTACCCCAAAATACACACATGGTATGTACTCACTTATAAGTGGATATTAGCGGTAGAGCACTGGATAACCATGCTACAGTCCACAGACCCAGAGAGGCTAAGTAACAAGGAGGGTCTAAGAGAGGATGCTCGAATCTCACTCAGAAGGGGAAACAGAATAGACATGGGAGATGGATGGAAGGTGGGAACTGGGAGGGGGTTTAAAGAGGGGAGCAGAGAGGATCAAGTGAGGGGAGAGTTGGGGAGAGGGCTGAGAGAAAGAACAGACATCAGTGGGGAGGGCATCGCTGGGACAACTTGAAGACCTGGGACAGGGGAGGCTCCTGGGAGGCTCCTGGGAGGCTCCTGGGAGTCTATGGCAGTGACTCTAGCTGAGACTCCTAGAAGCAGGGGATATGGAGCCTGAAGTGGCCACCTCCTGTAGCCAGGTGGGACGTCCAGTGGAGGGATGGGGACATAATCCACCCACAAAACCTTTGAACCAGAATTTGTCCCGTCTCCGAGGAGGGCAGGGATAACTAACGCTGGAGCAGAGACTGAGGGAAAGGCAAACCAATGACTGGCCACCTTGAGAGCCACCTCATTGGAGAGCCAACCCTTGACACTATTAATAATACAGGAGTCTAGCATAACTGTCCTCTGAGAGGCTTCATCCCACAGCTGATGGAAACGGATGCAGAGACCCCCAGCCAAGCATTAGGCAGAGCTCAAGGAGTCTTGTAGAAGAGTGAAGGGAGGGATTGAGGGAGCCGGAGGGGTCAAGGACACCACAAGAAGGCCTACCGAGTCAACTAACCTAGGCTCATGTGGGATCACAGACCCTGCATGGACCTAGGTCCCCTGAACATATATCGCAGACGAACAGCTTGGTCTGCATGTGGGTCTCCTAACAACTGGAGTAGGGGCTGTCTCTGACTCTGTTGCCTGCCTTTGGATCACTTTTCCCCTAGCTGGGATGCCTTCTCTGGTCTCAGTGAGAAAGGATGCACCTAGTCCTGCTGCAATTTGATGTACTTGATGGGTGGGTTGGTACCCATGGTGGAGGGGACACCCCTTCTCTGAAGAGATGGGGAGGGGGAGATAGGGAGAGGAGTATGAAGACGACTGGGAGGAGAGGAGGAAGTGGGAGCTGGTATCGGGGTGGAAAGTGAATAAATGATAAATTAATGAAAAAAGAAAAATTCCCTCCACTCTACTCTCCACACAAACATCCCAGTGGCACTGTGTGTTCTTGTGTGTTCATGTGTGCTTGCATTTGAGTGTATGTTCCTGAATGCATGTGTTACTTTTTAAAGCTTTTAGAATCGCTGTTACAGTTTAAAAGATAAATTATACACAGGCTGAGAAATTTTAAAGTTAAAAAAAAAAGTATTAGAAGTTGCTTTTCTTTCAAGAAATATCCTAGGCATAGACACACAACTGACATACATGATTCATTTTCAGTTTTAACTTACACGATTTATACCACTTTCTGTATTATCTACCATCCAATATGGCAGCCACCACCCACATTTGGATCCGCCAGCTTGACATGCGGCTAGTGTGGCTGGGATGTTAACAGTTTACTTTTAGAAGATTTTCCTACCATGTGTCTGTGTTTGTGAGTGCAAGTGCCCTTGGAGATCAGGCGCTCCAAGCCTGGGGCCAAAGTGACAGGAGGTTATGAACTGCCCGAAGCAGTGCTGGGCGTTAAACTCGCTCCTCTAGAAGACCCACAAGCACTCTTAACTCCTGGGCCCTCTCTCCAGTACCGAAAATGTAATATTCTAAATCTATGTTACATCTTGAAGAGAGATCTTTAAGTATCAGTGAATTTACATGGACAGGTAATTTTCAAACGGATAGCCTTTGCATCAAGGTCAAATTACTTCTAGAAGACCAGCGACCATGCCCGTATAAGCACAGGAGTGCTGAAGGGGATTTCCTGTGGCCATTACCTACCATGGGTCCAGCTGCCCCATCAATTCCCGCCACCTTGCTCCCAGCCTCCCTCTCTCATCCTAAGACTGGCGTTCCTTCTTCTCATCCCCCTCCGCGTGCAGGATGCATCTGCCATTTTTCTCAGTTCAAGTCCCACACTGGAAGTCTTTCCTGGTCATCCGTTCCCAGCATGTCTCCCTGTGTGTGTGTGTGGGGGGGGAGAGGTTGGGCTGAGAAACCGTTTTGAGTATGCGAATATTGACCCTGAAGCCCAGAGCTCTTGGGGGAACACAGTTCCCTCTGTGACAGTTCGATTCTCAGCGTAACACAATCTACAGCCACATGGGAAGTGTTTCAGTGGGGGATTGTACAGAAGAGGTTGGCCCGTGGGCGGGCCTGGGGGAGGGTCTTGATTATGAATTGATGGAAGAAGACACAGCCTGAAAGTGGGTACCGCCTGGGTCTGGGTCCCGAGTTAAAAATGAACGGGTAGTGAAGGCTACTGAGCAGCAGGCGTGCAAACATTCATGCCTGCTGTATTCTTGATTGTGGATGTGAGTAGCTGCCCACAATGATGGACTCTAACCTGGAACTGCAAACAGATTAACCCTTTCTCTCTCAAAGTTGCTTTTCTCAACATATTTTATCACAGCAATAGAAATAAAACTGGATGACCATCACTGGTAGCTGAAATGCCAGTGATGGGTTCTTGGAGCTGAAGATCTGACTGGTACCCTAACAGCACATGATAAAGAAGCCTTTAACTCTGTATGAAGAATCCTGGTGAGGTGGGAACAAAGTGCGGAGAGAACTTTGTGCCCAACACTACCAGCCAGACACTTTCCCTAAGTTTCCAGTTCCATCCTCAACAACTTGAGCAAAGGGACCACACGATCACACCTTCCAGACAAAGAGATGGTCGGACACCCTGGGAGTCTGGGTGAGAGCCTGTTTCAGAGGCCTGCCTTTGTTAGAGCTTAGGACTGTAACGGTCTTGGCAGGAGAGAAGGCCACAGTGCTATGGATCAAACCCTGCTGCCTTCCATCACCCCTGAGCCGATTCCCAAACCCTATAGAGAGACAATATTTCAAAAAGATACGCCTGTGTTAGCAACCTGTTGAAACACTGGCACACGTCTTTAACATCAACACTGGGGAGGCAGAGGCAGGCAGGTGTCTGGGAGTTTTTGGCCAGTCTGATCTATATAGTGAATTTCAGGCTGGCTGGGGTGACACAGTGAGACCACAAGTTAAAAAGAGGAAAGAAGAGCTGGGTGTAGCGGCATATGCCTTTAGTCCTGGCATTCAGGAGGCAGAGGCAGGAGGATCTCTGTGAGGCCAGCCTGGTCTACAGAACAAGCTCCAGGACAGCCAGGACTATGCAGAGAAAAATCTGTCTCAAAAAAAAAAAAAAAAAAAAAAGGAAAAAGAAAAGGAAGGAAGGAAGGAAGGAAGAAAGGAAGGAAGGAAGGAAGGAAGGAAGAAAAAGACAAAAAGGAAGCAAAGAAGGAAGGGAAACAAGAAAAGGAAAAAGGAGGAGGAGGAAGAAGAGGAGGAGAGAAAAGGAAAGAACAACAAAGGTTGAAGGAGTGAAAAGGCTGGAGCCTAGGCTGGCCAGGAGAAACTTATCTCTCAGAAAGACTTCATACAGGTATGGCAGCTTGTCAGACCACCTTACGAGAGGGGCGAGGGGAGGCACTGATGAGTGTGATGAGTGGGACCTGGGTGGGACCACACATTGACCATGTGCACCCCTTGCAGTCTGCTTAATCGGAACCTCTGGAGCTGGAAAGATGCTCAGTGGTTAAGTGTCCTGGCTGCTCTTCCAGAGAACAGAGGTTTGATTCCCATGGATATGGTGCCTCGCAACCTTCTGTATCTCTAGATCTGGGTGATCTGATGCCTTCTTCTGGCCTCTGTGGACCACAGGCACATGAAGTACAGAGACACACACAGGCAAAACATTCACACACAAAAACAACAAAATATTTTTTTAATTTAAATTTTACATCAATGCCTGGAAGACAGACTCTGGGGTTCCTGAAGCTCTTTGTCATCTTCCTAATAGGGCCACATTGAATCAATCTTCTTCTGCTTTCACTATTACTTGTCTCTGTGCTTAGAAACCGACAGCAGAGCCTAGCTTACTGGGCCTGGCAGGAATGACACTTTGACCCAAGGTCCCAGATGACAAGCCTTAGGGAGTGATGGGGACTGCTAATGATATGCAGTCCCAGGTTTTTCCCATGTGCCCAAGGTACCCAGAAGTTCAATCAATATTTGTTTGCTTTTCTCTCTCCCCTTATGAATTTGAGCAGAGCACTCTGTCCTTCCTGCAGGCTCCTAAAACTCCAGCAGTCCATAGAAGACTCTAAATCATTTCACTTAGGATGGGGACCTCAAGAATGGCAGGGAAAATCACTCACCCTTACAGAAGAGTCTTCCCTTTTCGGGGTGCATTTCTGGAAGGAATGTACTGATGGGAGAGTCTCAGCTAGGGATTTCCCACACCCGGGAAGGACATAAGAAAGGGCAGCCTGGAGCACTGAGATGTAAAAGAAAGCTCTTCTGAGAGTGTAACAGTCCTTCTACCCTCAGGGAAAAGGTCCACCTGGCCAGAGAGACCTGTCAGATCCTCAGACAGGAAGCACTGACACAAGAGGTCTGCACTCGCTCAAGTCCTTGGATATCTATGGAGGAATGAGCCAGGGTCAGGTGGCTGGTCCGGAAGACACTAGGTGGATGGAAGTATGGCTAGGGAATCACACCCAGCCTCAAAGGTCTACGCATGGAGACCTGGGAGCTGGTGGAGGGTCCAAGGAGTGGGGCTGGGGGCAAGACTGAGGGAGGGAGGGTCTGCTTGGAGCCTCTGCAAGAAAGAGAGTGATACCGGTCAAAATTAGGCGGATGTGTTTGAGAACAAACCCCAGGCATCAGGAAAGAGGGGATAGGAGATAGATGCCTGGAAGGTGAAGGCAGTTAGCCAGTGACACAGGAGTTCTCTCATTGGACACACAGAGCAAGGTGAGGGAGCCTCAGTTTTCCCATCTGTGGCTTTCTAGTGGAAGATCCTGTCGAAGCAGGAGTCACTCCCTCCAGTGACTGCAGTCATGTGTTGAGAGATGGCATAATTTAAAAACTGAGGCTGGAGGAAAGGCAAAGGAGAGAAGATCTGTCTGACACTAGAAAACCCAGGGCCAGGTTGGGGCTGGGATGGGGAAACAGCCACTTCTGGGGACAGCTGACTTGGTGGCAGCTGCTGCCCTGGTGCAGGGAGGGTTAAGCATCTTGCGGCTCCCACCCACCCTGGGCCAACATGTCCTCCCACATTTACGTCTCCTGAAAAATATTCAGCCTGCAGCCTGTCTCAGTTGGTGCTCCAGGGCCCCCCACCCCCACCTTCGGTCCAATCCAAGAGGAAGGTCAGGGAACTTTCAGAAACGGGAAACTCCAAAACTCCGGACTCTGGGAGAAGGGTCAGTGGGAAAAGGCGGGGCTGTGGGACGGAGCGAGAAGAGAAAAGGGAGAGGAGAGGGTGAGAGGGAACAGTTAGCTGCCAGAGAGCTGTTCCAGGGACCACACGGGGAAAGGCCTTGCTAAAGCAACAAACCTGATATTTTTCAAGGTACCAGAGAGAGGCTGGGGGTTTGGGATCTGGAGGGAAGACCCAGAAAGAAGAAAAGTGGTTCAGAAAAGAGGCTATAGTGGCCTTAGTTAGCAGGGCTACTTCCCCGGGGGCTGTTGGCAGGGAACTCGAAACTGGCCCCATGAAACAAGGCCTTGAGGAGTGGGAAGGGCTAATTAGATGCCAATGGAGATTCAGAGAGGGGCACTTCTGTTCCCAGAAGTGGGCCGGGGGAGAAGGTGTCCCCCCACCCTCGCCCCAGCTCTAAGAGCTGAAGCCCGCACACCGTTTCTGCAGGACCAGGCGGACTGAGGTGGAGCCATGAAGTACCTGCTCATCTCCCTGGCCCTGTGGCTGAGCACAGCGGGCGTAGGTGGGACAGAGCTGGCGCTCAGCGAGACACAGCGCAGGGGCTTGCAGGTGGCTCTGGAGGAGTTCCACCGACACCCACCTGTGCAGTGGGCCTTCCGAGAGATGGGTGTGGACAGCGCCGACGACGTGGTTAGTGCTGTGACTGGGTAGAGAACGGAGGGCTGCAGCCTGGAGACCGGTGAATCCCAGAACACTTTCCTGGGAAAGGTCCCCGTCAGCCACCCTCCTGGGCTGGGTCAGTTCTAAGGTAAGGTGTTGGGGGAGGGGAGGAACATTCAGAAATTACCTGATGGCCTTCCTGTCTGCAGTTCTTCTCAGCGGGCACCTTTGTGCGGTTGGAATTTAAGCTCCAGCAAACCAGCTGCCTCAAGACAGACTGGAAAAAACCCGAATGCAAAATCAAACCAAATGGGGTGAGTGAAGGGGCTCTTTTGATGGGAGAGGCTGCCAGCGTATGAGCTGGAGCCCAGTGGAGCCCAGAGAAGCCCTGCGCTCATTACTGGGGGCAGTCTGCGAGGATGGGGGGATAGAGGGAAAGGGAAGTTGCTCCATCAGCATGGGCCCACTTCTCTGAGCTCCTCCTAAAGAAGCTTCTCTGTAAAGTTTACCCTGTACCCCGGCCAGGTTCACCGCAGGATTTCACAGTAGCCAACCACCCTAAAGGCGGCACTGCCCCTTACAGGCTGACCTCGGGCTGGAGGTACAGCACTTTGGAGTAAGGTTCTTGCTTTGTGGGTTCCCGAAGGCCTTGGTTCCTCTCCCTTGGTTAAGGGGAGGGACTAGATCATATTGGTGATTTACAAGGCTCTTGGCTTCAGGCCCTTTCGTTCGAATTACGTCTTAATGGAAAATGTAAATATGAGGCCAAGGTGGTAAGGGCCCTTGCTGTGCAAGCATGAGGACCTGAGTTTGAATCCCAGCACAGATCTGAAAACAGCTGGGCATGGCTACACAGGGGTATACCCAGGTTGCCACTTAACTCCAGGTTCAGAGAGAGACTTTCTTCTGCCAAAGGAATCAAGCAGAGTGGTATAGAGGGACACCCAACGTTCTTGTCTGGTGCGCGCGCACGCACGCACACACACACACACACACACACACACACACACACACACAAACCCCAGAGAGAAACAGAGACAGTCAGACACCACCTGCGGAAGACTTCGCCTTTATGCATGTCTGCGCGTGCACACAGGCACCTGTGAGTACACCCATGGAGGATACTGCACATGAGCAGTACACATATACATGCTCACACAGGAATGATCCCGGCACAGGCCAAAGTACTGCAGTCTGCGGGTGAGGCAGGACAGCATGCACTTGAAGCATACACTGGAGAAGGTAAAGCGGGAAATCTGCAAGTTTAGGCTACTGGGTCCAAAGAAGAGAACTTCTAAAATCTATCCCCAGGTAGGCTGTATGTCCATCTGGGTATACGACCACTTGCCCTTTGGATTAGCTACACTTCTGTTGCTGGGCTAAAATGCCATGACCAGAACCAACGAATATCAGGAAAGGTTTGTTTTTGCTTAGGGTTTCAGAGGAATAAAGTCCATGCTGGTGGAGGGGCAGGGAGATGTGGCTGTCAGCAGGCATAGAGCCAGAGCAGGGAGCTGGGAGCTCACAGCCCCAAATGCCAGCAGGAAGCAGAGTGAATTGGGAGTGGTAGATGGTTTAAAATCTTAAATCCCACTGACATAGTTCCTCCATCAAGGTCAAACCTTCTAAACCTCCCCAAACAGCACCACCAACTGTAGACCAATTATTCAAAGACTGAGCCTATGGAGAACACTCTTACTCAAACCACGACATCCCTCCACTCTAGAAGGCCAGTCTCCACTCTGACCCACATGGTCTCCTCACTTCTTCTCTTTCCTTCTCGTGGACTCTCCTCCCCAGAAAAAGCGGCAATGCCTTGCCTGTATCAAACTGGACCCCAAGGGTAAAGTTCTAGGCCGGATGATCCACTGCCCAATACGGAAGCAAGGGTCTCAGGTAAGAAGGAAGAGAGTTGAGGGAGAGGGCTGAAGATGGGCCACACCTGCATCTGTGGGAGAGGTACAGGAAGCCTGGAATAGGGAGTGGGGTAGGGGGCAGCTGGGACATCCCCCTGGGGGTTGTGGTGGCCCCTCCCCTCCCAGGCACTACTGCAACAGACACTGGTTCTAACAGGAGCCTCAGGAGTCCCAGTGCAGAAAGATAGCAGAGACTGGCGAGGACCCCGGCAGCTACTTCTTCCCTGGACAGTTTGCCTTCTCCAGAGCCCTGAGAACCAAATGAGCCCTGGGCAGGTAAGAGATTGCAGGGCCAGCCAGCCCTTGGCATGAAAGCTGGGCTGAGAGGGGAAGAGAAGGGATGTGGGAAATGTGGGGAAAAGCTAGGATTAGACCAAAACCAACACCCAGTTTGGTTTTCCCCTCATCTCTAGGACTTCATCTTTCTGGACAGCAGTGGCGGTGCCCAGTGGAAGCACATGCCTCCCAAAGACTTCGTACTCCAGGCTAATAAAATTGCTGTGTTCCCTTCCAACCTTGTAATGTTCTTCCCTCAGTGCAACCTGCACAAAAGACGCTCAAGTCCACATTTGCTGAAGAAGAGACAAGAAATGATACAAATGAGAAGAGAACTATTTAATAGGAAGGAGCTAGGGGGTGGCCAGTAACCTGACCCACAAAGCCTTGGGCTGGGCATCTGAGAGAGCTCAGGCTCTGCATGCCCTGGCCCCGGCCCCAGCTACACAGTATATTTGCCAGATAACGCGGGGATCTCCTACACCTGATAGAGGCCACCCAGAAAGCATGTCTCTCCTTGTATGGGAGGAGGGCAGGAAATGTCCTTGGGGAGATGTAGGGTAGGAGCTAGGATGCTCTCAAGAAAGCGATAAACGAACAACCTAATTTGCAGGGTAGTAACCAGGGGGGAAAAAAGCAGCAAGGGCATAGGGCAGGAAAGGGATGCAGGCGGTAAGGCCTGGATGAGACTGCCCTAGCTATGAGGCACATTCAGAAGACAAAGGAAGAGGTGCTTTCTGCAGGGCCGAGAGCCTGCTGGGCCTGCGCCAAGGTGTCACTGGCCTGGCGGTCCAGGTCAAGGCATTCCTGCAGTGTGTCTTGGAACTGCCTGCAGGCCTCCTCCAGAATGGAGCTGCTCCGTATGGGCCAGGACTCCCAGTAGCTGGGCTCCACCCATGGCTGGGCCTCGATGGCTCCCAGGCCTGGGCTGGAGCTGGGGCGCAAGGAACTGTCCAGGTCTCGGAATAACTGGTACAGCTCGCTGCCCTGCCCACTCACGCGTTCCCCATCTATGACTTTGAGGCTAGGCAGCACCTCTCGGACGGCAGCCAGGTAGGAGGGGCTGCCACACAGCGGATTGCTGAGTCGCGCTAAAGGGTCCCGGAGCCTCAGGTGCTCCAGGCCCTGTAGCCCAGCCAGACACTGCAGCTGGCTAGGAGTGGCCAGCAGGTTACCAGCGGCATTGAGGGTCTGCAGGTTCTCACAGGCTGCCAGTGGCTCCAGCCCTGTCAGCTGATTGTTGGAGACGTTGAGCACAGCCAGCTGGTGCAGGGAGGCCAGCGGGCCCAGGTGGGTGAGCGCATTGCCTGACAGGTCAAGCCACTCAATGTTCAGGCATTCCCCCAGACAACCCAGGTCCACCAGCCCTAAGCCCCTAAGTTTCAGCAGCAGGATGGAATCCAGGGCAAACTCTCCGGAGCGGGACTTGAGCAGCTGGGGAGTGATGCTCAGCACCTCGGCCTCTCCTGGCTTCTCTCCAGGAAGCTCCATGATGCAGAAGACGGTTCAGGTGGCCTGGCGGTGGCAGCGCTGTCACAGTGGCGGGAATGCTGGTGCCTGTGAGGATCAGCTGGCTGCACCCCCTCAATTCGGCTTGGGCCCTAGAGAGAGACAGGACAGTCAGGCCAGCCTCTCCTGAGCATGCGTTCTGTGCAGCAGGGAAAAGCGGGGTGCCGGGCAGACAGCACAAAGTCCCTGTGCTCACAGAAACCAGCAATGTTAAACATGTGGGGCCGTCTCTAGAGCTGTGTAGCTTGTTAGCCACGCTGAGAGCTGGGAATAGAGGCGGTCAGCAGCCTAGGTGACCTCTGCGCTATCTGTATGACCGAGACCACAACACACCAAAAACTTAATATGGCACATGTAGTCTATTTCCGAGCCCATCTCTACGGAAGAGGGGCATGGACTTTGAAAAGAGTTTGTATGTAGCTGTGCCCTCAGATTGATTGTGCACATGGGACTGTGCACAATACACCAGGGACCTTGCCAAGTTGAACTGAAATTAAATATGCCTAAAACAAACTGCCTACTGTCAGACTCTAGAAGTTTGAACCGACACTGGCTACTGGGTCGTGCTGAACTGGAGTTTCTTCTTGCTTCACGTGGATGCTCTGCTGGCCACAGTGTTTGCAGAGACCCCCACAATGGCCAATAGCCAGACCTGAGACCATCTAAGCAGCCCCAGCCTAGGGGAACTGGCTCTAGCTCACTCCACTGGTCAGGCCATGTTGCACGAGGCTTAGGCCCTGTATTGCAAGCTTGGTCCACCTGTCAAATCTGGACTGTGGACAAATATATCACTTAACTTTCCCTTTTTGAGAAGTTGTTTTTTTGATTGCTCGGTTTGTTGATTTTTTTTTTCTTTTTTGAGATAGGGTCTCATAGCTTTGAATTCTTGATCCTCCTGCTCTCCTCCACCACCCCGCCTCTCTCCAGAACTAGGATTACAGGTTTACACTACCACTCCTGGCTTAAATTTGTTTTGAACTACACAACAGGTAATTACCACCTCCTTGGCATGCAGACCCAAATAAGAAGTGCTGAAACTTCTTTCATTCACTCAAAAATGTTATTTCCACGTTCCTAACATTATCACTGAATTTATAATGGTGTCCTGGGTGTGCAGACCAATGCACACCTCTGGCTGGAGCTGTAAGGCCTGAGGGGTTGGTAGGCTTTTAGCCCTATGTACGGAGGAAACTGAAGTTAAGCAAGATAGGACGGGGTGGAAGTTAGCACGGAAGCTGGGGTGAGCTAGTTATGCAGCTGCTCCAACTCCAGCTCGCAGTCAGCTCTTCAACTTCAGCGTCGCGCCTCAGAGGTCAGCATGAGATATTGATCACTGTGTCCCAGACAGCAGAGTGCTACTAAGGCGTGGCATCATGGCACCAAAGTGTGAGCTGGGAGAGGTGAAGGGGTAGGGGGAGAAGTCCAGGAAGCCATTTTGGAGCAAAGAGAAGGCATGCCTAATACAGCTGTGTAATGTAGGGGAGCATGTCTTCGGTGGCTGTGGGAGGGGAGCCCAAGTGTGCGTGACATCAGTGTGAGGAGGAGGTTTCCTGTGGGGAGGGACAATGCCGATGCTGCCCACAGAGGATAAAGGTTCACATGGACAGAAAAACAAGAGCAGGCCTCATTCCAAATACCCCTCCCCACAGTACAGACTTTGGCCTGGCCCAGACTCAGGAGTCTGAGCTCAGCAGGCAGTTACACTTTCACAGAACATTAAGGCACTGCCAATTCCAACACTGCTCAGTGCTGTAGGTATGAGGTACTGGTGATCCCCAAGACCACGTTTTCATGATCAGTATCACTCAGGTTTCCGCTGAGGAAACCAGGCCCACAGCACCATCCATCGGTGATCCCTGCTCACTGGCAGAGTCTTCAGAGAGCTCCCATTCCCGAATGATCGGACGAGGCTGGGGATGGGTCCTGCACATCCTCTCAACGGTACACCTGAGGAGGGTATTCTTGTCTTCGCCATATCCATTCCTGTCAGCTCACTATGTACAACACTCCCGTCCACTGGGCCATGAGCTTCCTGAAGAGCTTGGAGGAGACAAAGTGCAAGCTGGGCTACTACACGGTGGCTCCGTAATGCCGCGCGCCCCAGGCTGCACACGCGGCTAACTAAGGCTATACATGCCACCCTGGCCGCCCCTGACTGCTGTGAGGGAAGCTGGGGTGAAGCCAGGAGAGAGCTGCTCAGGTCTACCCAGTACCAGCTGTGTCAGTGTCTCCTGCCCCCTCCAGGGGCGGCATCTGGGCAACATCTAGGTATGAGACAACCCCCTCCAGCTGGACCAGCAACGCTCGCAGACAAGGCCTTCTGCTGCATCTGTTCTGTCCGACTCCTTCACTGGGCTGCCGAGATGGGTAGCCTCCTTTCCCAGTCCAGCCCATGCTTACTAAGTGACAGACCAGGCCTAAGATATGGGACTGCCCTTGTGATTTACCCTGCCTGACAACAGTCTGACACAGAACACAGAGATGCGGCTGGTGTTCTTTAAGTCAAGGAAACAAGCAAAACTTCTCTGGTGTCTGGATTGGACTTTGGGATTGTGCTGTACAGATGGCCTGAGGACTGTGAGGGAAATTCCACATTCCTACTTTTACAGCTCCGGTAAGATACGTCAAGGCAGAGGGCTCCTAAAGGCTTGGCTCAGGCCTTGACTTCTTCCTTATGCCAGGGCAAAAAAAACTTCTTCATGGACTTCTTAAAGTGCCACATGGAGTGTGGTGGTTTGAATGAAAATGGCCCCCATAGATTCATGGGGAGTGGCACTATTAGGAGATGTGGCCCAGTTGGAGGAAGTACGTCACTGGGGATGGGCCTTAAGGTTTTAAATGCTCAAGCCAGGGCCAGTGTCATTCTCTCTTCCTGTTGCCTATTGATCTAGATGTAGGACTCTTGGCCCATTCTACAGCACCATGTCTTCCTGCATGCTGCCCATCTTCCCACCACGATAATAATGGACTAAATCTCCGAACCTGTAAGCCAGCCCCAATTAAATGTTTCCCTTTATAAGAGTTGCCATGGTCAGGGTGTCTCTTCACAGTGATGGCAGTCCTGACTAAGACATGGGCCATGAGGCTAGCGGCTTGCCCTGTCTCCACATCCTTCCTGGAATGGTTTGCATCTAACCTGTCAGGACGGCTCACTTGGGTGAGCTGAGGCAAGGGCTGAACAGTTAGGTTAGAGGAGGCCTGGCCGACACTGAGCGGCAGAGGCTGTCTTCTTTGCTGCCTTCTCCCCACTCTCTCTCCATCTTCACATCTTCTGTCTGGACACCTTCTTCAAGGGCACAAATCAGCAAGCATGGGTTCTGGAGCCTCCTTTTGGTTTACTCTGCCCAGGTGGCTTAGTGGCTTCACTTCTCTTGTGAAGCAGTGGAGGCAAGACCAGATCTCTCCAAAGAACATGTTTTTCCCTTCCCAGTGTAGGCAGTTGGGTCAAGGGCATCTTCTCCCTCCTTCTCCAGGAAAACTCAGTCCAGGTCAGAAAGGACAGATGTACCACTTGGCAGGGAGCAAGGGCTACTTCTTTGTAAGAGCAAGTCTTTTTCATGCTTTTTTTTTCCTTCGGGAGTCAGAGGTCCTGGTTTTCCACAAGGACATCTTTATGCCCAGAAACTCAATTTAACCTCTTGGGCATGTCCTCCCTGGGAGCCCAGCTGAGTCCCCATCTATGGGGTCCCATAGATCTTGTGCTAGAGTCAGCCTGAGACAAGCTAGGGAAGCAGCTGGGTTCTTGGTGCGGTCTCAGGGGAGCTGGTGCTCACAGCAGGGTCTTCCTGTCTCGTTGATCCTGGGATGTCTTCTCTAGGGCAATTTTTTTCCCACTTCCGATACACTTGGGAACTTAGGGCGAATGAGAAGATGTGCCCCAAGACAGGCAGCAAGGCAAGATGAAAAGAACAGTTCTCAGTCACCCTAGGTAACTCTGTGGACTGCAAGGCTGGAGACCGTACGGGAGAGAACCAAAGAGCAGAAGTCAGTGAAAGTTACCAAGGACGGTGAGAAGCAGCCTCAGGATATCACCCTTGCAAGGCCATGACCTTCTTGGAAAGGTGTGATTCCATTCTTCCAACTAGTTCCCACAGTCTCCTGAATGTTCATTATCTCTGCCAAACCAACTGATTTTTTTTGTTTTGTTTTGTTTTGTTTTGTTTTGTTTTGTTTGTCTTTTTTAGTGTCTGAGTCAGAGGCACTTGATCTTTTCATTTTGTGGACAAAGCAAAGAAAGGCCCTGTGGTCACTCACATCACAAACTAGAGACAGCCAAAACTGAGGGTTCAAAGGACTCTGTCCATGGCAGGGACTAACCTCAGGAGTGTGCAGTGTGTTTCTGGGGCTGCAGAGCTCCAGATCTGCGGATCCTGAGCAGCTGGGCTGCTCTTGGTACCAAGAGACCGGGAACAATGTGCCACATGGCTCACTATCTGTTAAACTGCCAGCTAGCCCGCAGAGCCCGACAGCGCCTTTGCTCATTTCCTCTGCAGCTCCTTCTCTGGACGCCAGCTGTGAAGAAAAGCTCACAGGCCGTGTATGCTCTGCAGCAGCATGACGGAAGTGCCTTTTCTTGTGTTCCTTTCCGTGTTCGCTTTCCCAGAAGGCTGCCTATGCCTTCACCTCCCATGCCTGTGAATCCTACTGCTCTATGGCTCTTGCCCAGACCTATAGTGACCACACTGGCACCAACTTAATGTACTCTTCAGTGACACCCACCAGGAGTGCCTGCCTGCTTCTACCCTTTGGAAACCTCTTTGCCTTCTGTCATAGCCTACCACATTTTTTTGCCATCCCTCCCATTTCTGACCTCACAGTCCTTTATCTGGTCTCCACCCTCTTTAAGTGTCCCTTAAGTGATATTCCTTAGGCTGTCTCTATGGGCCCCACTGGGGCCTGCAGGGCAGTCTCCAGGCTGCCCTGCTCATCACCAACCATCACACGTAGGTTCACAACTCTTTTTTCAGCCTCTGAAGCTCTTAGTGCATCAACTCCATCCTGGTACAGGGATACCCAGCCTCCCAGATGCTCAAGCCTAACACTTGGGTATGGTCTGTGTGGTGGTTTGAATCAAAATGGCCCCTAGAGTCTC